CCTCACGGCTCCTGAAAATTGGCCTCGCCAACAAACTGAGCTATCAATTTTTGCTACCACGACGAATATATAAAAATAGGGAACTCAAAGGCAATCTTCCTATATATCCCTTAAATATACTGATACTGATACACTTTTAGGGAATGAAATATTGCAGCACGCGAAACATTAGGCATTGGGATGTGGCGGCGGCGTTACATAGGCTGAACGGAACGGGCTGGAATTCAAAAAGCCTTTGGGATACAGTAAAGGCCGTCTCCTGACGCTTTCTTGGGTGGATTTCGACCGGCCAGTACGCTGATGATGATGGAGGGTGGAAAACCAACGAGCGTTTCCGAGAGAGTCTAAGGTGTAATCGAGGTGAGGTTTGAAAAAAAGTTGCGGACTGTGACTGCGTTTTGTCACAGGTAGTCGATTCACAAACGGAGGATCTCCTCCTACATTGGTTTCAGGGCAATAGGGAGGCCCACGGAGATGACAAGATGGTTATGATCTTAGCTTGTAGCAGGTCATCTAAGAGCTTGTGGAGTTCACCTCAGCAACGGAGAGGGATGCGTCGAGGGGGTTGCCAGAGAGGTTTTGAATCCTCTTATCTACGGGATATTGGACTAGGCGTGTCCGTTCGATCGAATCTGTGGACCACGAGAACAGGTTGGGGTATGAGGACAAAAGGTCACGGAGCTGGTTAAACGAGGCAATGCCAACTGTGGACGAAAGGTGCAGGATCTCATTTAATGAATTGGGGCCAAGGGCGACGGCAGGCGTAAGTGTTGTACACAAGATTGAAGTTAAACTCAGGCTTAGGAGGAAGAGAACGGTCTGAGTTTTAAGTTAGCAAACTGCGACGGTCACGGGCATAGATTACAAAGTTATAATAACAAATTGCATATTTAAGGTCAAAGGAGCCCTTTAATTACAAACTTAGTGTTATTGTGAAAAAAACATCAAAATTGGTAATCACAGCTGCGCGTAAGCAATTGTATGACAACAGGAATTAGTAGTATGTTACGGGTGGTAAGATGGTAATTTAGATCTGA